TAATGTTGATGAAGTCATATCAATCAAATTAATGTGTATATCATAGGTCATTACTTGATTGCTTGGAAAAGTTGAATTCACTTAAAAATATTATAGTTTGTTCGGTTAAGTTTTTAGGAAGCAAAAATGTTTTTTTTTTTTTTTGAAAAATTGTTAATGAGATGCCTGAGCAAGTCCTTTTGTCAACAGAAGTAAGGAAAACAAATTGCATCAGTGATATTCTTACCTTGACAGCATATGTCCTTCCGATCAACACACCTCATCGTCACTCCCACCACCTTAAACCTCAATCCCACCATCCCACACCGTACTTTCTCACCCTCGATCAACTCATATAATGTTTGTCGAAATAATATACAAATAACTTCGATATAATATTTTTTATTTTTTATCGGGCATAAGAAAATAAATTAAAAAATCCACTAATACATACTATCTCCATCCACTTTTAATTATCATGATTTCCTTTTTTAGAGTCAAACTATAAGAATTTTGACTAACATTTTACGATACATTTTTTCATCATATTGATATGCGAAAAACTGCAATTTATAGTACTTTTCGTATAGTTTTTGAAAATCTAAATTTTTTGCTTAAAATATCGAATTAATGTAATCTAATTTAACTTTAAAAATTAGTCAAATTGACTTTCAAAAAATGTAACATAACAAATAAAAGTGCACAGAGGGAGTATTTTTTCACTTGAAAATAGAATTCATATAGCAATACGCAAACACTTGTACTTAATTGTCTAAAAAATACGTTCATACGTGGTATGCCTAATTGCCTATAAGTCATTCAAATGAAAAATAGTGGTAATTAAGTTAGGAGGGTCAATCGTGAAATTGTGTTTTAGCGAGAACAATTATAATTGAAGTGAGAATAGAAAGATTTCACTTCAATTCAATAAATGACGTTTATTTTGTAAGTGTCTCTTCTTTCTCGACATGATTTCTTTTATTTTTTGTCTACGTACGGTGAAGGAGACAAGGGCGAGGCACCGACCATGTTTATCTTATTACCACTTATAATTTAGAATTAGAAGAAAATGATCATTTTCAAATCTCTTCTATGTTATTTCTGAATCTCATCTTATGCGTGTAAAATGAAAATTTCTAATATAAATTCATAAAGAACTACGAAATCAATTGATATTAAGTTTTAAATAGTTTTAGAAAAATATACAAATAAATAAAATTTCTTCTTTTGTTTCACCCAACCAAATGAATTTTCACAACTAGAACTAGCTAATTAATGTGAAAAGTTAGAGAGTTATAGACGGAACGTAACTTTAGGTAATTGACAAATCTATGTTCTACAAAACCATTTAAGGAACAAAATATAAAATAAAGATAGTGCCAAAATAATTATAGAGTCACAATAGTTTTTCTTAAAATAGAAATCTTTTGTCCATCTTCATTTTTTGTTTTTTCACTCGGTTGGAAAAAATGGGGAAAAAAAAATTTTAAAAATATTATTCAAAATTCATATCGTTTAATTCTTAAAAAGTGAAACATAATAAATATTTTGAAACAAAAAAATTATAATATAAATAAATATCTAAATTAATTTTGTTTGACTAGTTTTGAGGATCCTTTATGATAAGGTAAATTATATATTACACTAGTATATGTTTAAAGTAATTAAAATATACTAGTGCAATAAAATGGTATGTATCTTGGTTGCCTCTATGATATTTACCACTTCTACTAATTAATAAAACAAAAAGAGAGAAATTTTCATTTCAAAAGTTGAAGATAATTAAATATTAGAAATTTAATTGGTAAACGAAGATAATTTCTTTATAGGATTTATGGTCAAAGTATTGTTCATCTTTTAATTTGTTTCATTCACAAAAGCCAAACTGAAAAGAAAAAAAAAAAAAAAAAAGGGGCATGGG